CAGGCAAATCTTAAAACTGCTTTAACATTTTTGTAACTCTTCCAAAAGCAATTGTGCTCAGCCCTGGTAAAATGTATATCCCTGTGCTGTACTGCAGTTAATAATTCAGGGACAGCGGTTTCCTATAACAAGATTTCAGTTACTAGAATCTGACAGAGACACCAACAGTACATTAAAGAGATGAAAGAGTGGGGTGAAAGATTTTAAACTGGGAACGTTTACCTGGGAAACCCCAAGAAACTCTGAAACCTGTGTGTAAACCCTGCCTTAACCCTTTTGATAGAAAAGGCACATGCAAGATCGTGTAAGGAACAGCAAGTCATAGTTACCCAATGCAGAGAACAACTTTATGGTATTCTATTGTCTTTTTTGCAAATGTAAATTTATCATGTTCTGTGTACTTTAAACACTAGGCACATTTGTCATCGCTGCTCCATTAAATTGCTTTTATTGTTTTCGTAATATGTTTTATATACAACATTACTAGTCAGGTGTCTTGAAGGGCCCATTTGTTACACAAAACGTACAGCACTTCTTTTATATTCTGGGCCAGGCCAATCAGTCTCGTGTGCAGTGATCTATGAAGAAAATGTGAAGTCACCCAAATTACTTAATCAGAACTATCAGTCTTCTTCATGGAAACCGATAGATATTGGAAAGATTTGTGCTTGGCTCCATCACATGCGCATACACGGCTACTGCAAAACATCTACTGGGCTTATCCTAATCAAATTCTAATTTAAGACTTTAACATCATAGGTTGGGTCTTAAGACATTTTGACCAAAAGATTACAAAGAGTGGTAAATGATCTTATGTCAGAATATCTTTATTCTTCCACTGCGTATCCTCAGGGCTGTGTGCTATCCCCCATCCCATACAGTACATTTGTATACAGACACCTGTAGAAACTCATGTGATTTGACAGACAAATCATTAAGTTTGCTGATGACTCTGTCATTTTCAGTCTGGATTATTGTGGATTATTTCGTTGAGTGATGTAACAACTCCTTCATTCAATTTAATGTGCCTGAAACCAAATGGTCATTGATTATAAAATTATTGATTATAGAAAGCAACTACAAGTTACAAAATCAACAGTCATTGAGAAGCAATAGATTACAATTCTCAACCATTACAAATATCTTTGCAGTACTGCTGATTAAAAGCTAACCATTGAAGAAAACATGGATGCGATATGTAAGAAGAGCCAGCAGCAACTGTTCTTCCTGCGAACTCTGCTCTTTTAATGTGTGTAGTACAACGAAGACTTTATTCTATAGAACCTTTACTCAATCTGTCACAACATTTCCCGCTGTGGCACAATTGTTGGTGCACAACAGCTACAGCAGTCAAAGTGGAAGGTCACAATAATCACTGACTGCCGCGGCCACGGTGATTATCTTGCACATCTGAGCTCCTTCCAGCTTGGCGTTGTTTCAGACAATCGAGATTCAAGTGTCACAGAATGGAGTTTTCCTTTATTCCCACGGCTACTGACCTTCTCAACCTGCACAAACTGACTGGGGATTTTATTTTATGGATATATTATTTTTTATGGTAAACTGGAGGAAGCAAGGCAATAAGGTAGAAGGTAAATAAGGAAGAGGGGAAGGAAGCCGAGCTAAATCAGCAAGCGCTTGAGCTGCCACAGCTCCAGCATCACGGTTTACCAAACACATCAGTGCAGCCCTCGGGTCCATCACCGCTGCTCAGGCAATGAACACTCAGATCAAGCAGACATTTTGGTGCACAGCTGCAAGCTGATAAGAGCCCCTCCCTGTCCATCAATACCTTCTCTCCAATTTCTGTCATATCCCCTCCCGGCAGGACTTCCAGGTCAGTGACCAGTGCGCAGGCCTCCAGCACACTGCGGTACTTCTGCTCGTTGTAGGGAAGCCCAAAGAGGATGTTGTTTCTCAGGGTGGCGTTCTGAATCCAGGCCTGCTGGGGGACATAGGCCACCGAACCCTGAAAAGAAGAAGAAAACCACAGTTGCCATCTTAAAACGATCTCCCAGCAAACGATGCCTTCGACCGGTCCACTGATGGATGTGGTATCAATTTCCTTCTCACAGTCAGAGCCGCTATTTCATTTTTCGGGAGGGGACCGTGTGAAGCAGGCGTAACATTTATGAACTGGGCGGCAAAGTTATTACTTGGCTGGTTGGAATTGACTTTTAATTAAGTTAACAAGAACTCTAACTTAGTTCTTGAGCAATCAAGTACATAAGTAACTTGAGATACTGCTCTCGCTTTAATCTGACTGGCCCAATATAATAATATAGGCTGTAATAATAATTGCCTGCTGATGAGAGGATGGAGGGAGAGATTGAGAAGTGATGAATGGGTGTACAATACCCATACATATACTCAGTCAGGCCCATCAGAGGGTTAGCTCTTGCTCTCAAACTTCCATCACAAAGCCTAATTGTTGCCAGTTTGTAATGTTTAAAAAAAATGTACCATGAAAAGAATTTCTAAAAATAAGCCACATTAGTCTTGTAACCACAAGGCTACCATAACCAATTCCAGGGTCAGGGTGGATGTTGCCATGTGTCTTCACATTGAAAAGAGGTTAAACACCCACATTAGAGACTTTTGTGTATATTAGAATATTGTGTATGATGTTGGTCAACATGCTATAGAAAAGTTATATCAGTCCACAGAAGTAAAACTAGATGCACTCTGGAGCTTATGGTAATGCCATACCGTGACACGCTGAAAGAACTAAACCTTTTTAATATGAACAGAGAGGCTAAAAGACGACTTGATTAAAGTGTTCAAAATCCTCAAATGCACTGACAAAAGTAAACCCAGAGGACTTCTGCACAATGAGCAGTAAAACAAAAACCAGAAGGCAAAAGTGGAAACTACATCAAAGTGCTTCTTTAAGAAACAACTGACCTAGCTTCTAAACAGGCTGGATGGGTCAAATGGCTTCTTCTTGTTCATAACGTCTCTTATGTTCTTATGAGACTAAAGCAGAAATCAAACAAGTATGAAACACAAATAACAAACCCTGACTGATATCTCCCCCTCCAGCTTCTCCATCTCCCCTAGCAAAGCGGATATCAGAGAGGTCTTCCCACAGCCCACGTGGCCAACCACTGCCAGGAGGGAGCCCTGAGGCACCATCAGGTTGATACTGCAGACAGAGGAAAGCACCAGAAGTAAGTACAAAATTGTTCTCCTTATTTATTTATTTGACACCAAACCATGTATCTGAGCTTGTACGAGAGCATTAGGTGCCAAACTGAGACCCTTGCTCTGGTGAACTGCGTGTGCCAGAGTCCTTCTGTACCAGCTCAACACATAGCTGCTGTACTGTAGGTGAGTAAAATTCACCTGTGGGTTCCAGCCCCCTGAGTACAGACATGTTAGTCAGTTATTAGAATAAAAAGTACAACCAGATGGATTATTCTGGCTAAATCTGAGAGGAGTGGGCAACACAAACTTTTTTTTTTTCAGACTGAGCTGGCAAGGAAGGATCCATGGTGGAATACACTTCAGTTTGAGCTGGTCTTGCTGCTGTCTTGGGCCCAGTACCTTATTGACTGGGAGTGTCCTAATATTCTGGCCAATAAGTGTACAAAAGAGCTACAGACTGCTAGGAAACAGGAGAAATGGAAAACATAAGGCCCACACCTGGGATTGATCAATTTCACCCTGTCACAGTAAGTACTACTACTAGTGTAGCAATATCAAGACAGATGTGCTACAGTCCAGTCTCCTGTGGTCAACAGAACTGTCAGTGATCTAGGGGGCTATGATTTTTAGGAGTGAAGCTACTACACTGAAGGCATTGCATGGAGCTCCACTGTAATTGTCCAGAACTGCCATTTTTTAAATCAAACACATTGGAAATTAAGTCTAGTTCCATCTTTCCATGTTACTTAGGTGGGTCCCTGCTGCTCATAAAGCTCATTAAGAGAAGATCTGACTGCATTTCTCAACTCATCTTGCTCACAAATCCTGCAGCTGGAAATAGAGAATACTACGTTTGTGTCTAAGCTGTACAGAACTAGGAAAGGCAAAGCACAACTATATGAAACAAAGTAAAGGATAAGTAAAGGAAAAGCAGGATTATATTAAAGCTGTATGCAGTATATATACTGTATATATAAAGCCTTTCCTAAATATTAATACTTTGCCCATTCTTCTATAGAGCTCTCTGAAAAAAGATAATCAAAAACTGATTTTATTATTATAAAATATTAACAACATTAGGATGTAAAACATTTGTTTTATTACATAATAGTGCACCACCAATTCATGAGGTCACTGCATCTGAAGTCACTAAAATCAGGTTCCTTTCCATTTGACCATCTTGCTTGTTCATATATGTATGGATTTCACTGTGCTCCTATCCAGTGTTTCTGTAGTATTTCCAAATCAGTACATGTTGTATAGCTGGCACAACCAGTAAAATACCCAGAAAACGTACTTGTGAAGAGTTGCAGGTCCTTGCTTAGACCAAGTGAATTTCCCATTTACAACAGTGACAGCAAAGCCTGAAAGAGGGGAACACAAGGTTGTTGTTTAATGTATTCAAAATGCAACGACTACTAATTACTTCTGTTGCAGCAGAGTGAAAATCCGTTACGTACGTACAGTAATTCAAAAACACAGAAATTAAAACTGCCTAAAAGAATGCAAGTAAATAGGGCAGAATGCATTCCTTTTCCAGCTAGATGTTTGAACTCCTTAATCAAGACAATGACACACATTTATTACAACATGCTTCTTATCAATTTCATGTAAAATCAGGAGAGGACACCTGTTGCTAGTGATAGGTGATGAACTGTGATGGAAATGTCACAAACTCACAGCCACATCTGGACTGTGTAGCTATCTTAAATCTTTTTCCTGGCAGTAAGTCTTTTGGATGTCATTTACTTTGAAGTCTTGTAAAAAAAATGTGTATGTTTTCCATATGCAGGTTTCAGCTGACTATTAACTGTTGACTGTTGTTTTATGTAATAGGTTTATTTATTGAATGTTGGTGCAAAGGCATCCAACTGTTTAAAACTTTTGGGGTCATCTTAAAATGTACTCACAATAACAAATATTTCTCTGCTCCCCTTTACACCTTAACACGAAAAGTCTTTCTTACAATACAAGAAGGCTTCTCTAACAGTACAAACTTAGGAAAATTGTGTTTGCATTGCACTCTGAATAATTAAGACATTTACAGTGTCTTCAATGTCCTGTGAAACAGAATCTCTGAGAATATGGAGCACCAAGATGCATTTTGTTCTTCTTAGCAGAAGAAACAGTACACACAATATGCTGCTAGAAACATTTGGTAACAAACTGTGCTTTCAAAACTTTCCTTGCATGATGAAAAACTAACTTTCACGATTTTTTTGTCATCTTTGCTTATGCAAGTCTGCCAACCACATGGAGAACACCATGACTGACAATCCAGAAAATCAGGCTGTAAACAACAAGGTATGGATGGAATTCGATCCCATCTGAATGTATTTAATCTGTATTAATGTATAAATTTAAGACCTGCCCTGGCAATACTAAGGCGCTTAGCCCTAGTGTGTTTTTCACCTGGCTTTGGCGTTTTTTTCAGGACTTTCCTTGGGTTTTTGGACTATGTTTGGTCTTTCTGACTTTTGCTTTGGATTACTGCCTGGCTTGTTATTTGTGCTTGCTCTGGTTTTCAAACTTTGTTTCCTACTCGGCTCTCTGGCTTTTAGGATACTCCTTCGGCACCTTGATTTGAAGTTTTTACGGATTTGTCCCTTGCCTGTTTACTTCAGCCCTGGGCTGTGTTTCTCTGCCCTGTTTGCTTGTTTGCTTAGCTCTACAGATCTTCCCTGACCTGCCATTGGATCCCCTCTTTGAGTTCAGAGGTGGGCACTTCTTGTAAGTACAGCATATTATAGTTGTATTTGCAAATTCTTTACATTGAATTTTGTTTTTAAGATTTCTTCTCACACAGTCCCTAACATAATTTTATTGTAGATTTTATACAATATAAACATACTGTACACACTAAGATGATAGTTATTTTCTTGATTTATTTAGTATATGTGAGTTGGTGGGAGACAGTCAGTGTCTGGAAGGACAGATCACCCAGCTGTCCAAGTGTCACCCAAGAGACTATTCACCCCTACACAAAGTTGGATATGTGTACTCTCTCAATCGCTCCTTCTAGTTGCCTTAGAACTGATTTGACCTAAAATAAGAAATGGTTTATAGTTTTGACACGCCTTAAAACACAAATGTGCAAATTAAGAGCACTTAAATCAAGAACTACCTGAAGCAGAAAGTGTTACATTTAATTATACAGGGTTAGTCAAAAAGCTGTCGACAACTTTGACAGTTTAGTACAAATTACATGGTTTACTGTGACAAAAATGCTTTCAAACGAAAGCATAAATATCAAAATTTCTAACAGTTACCTTACAATACTTCGATATGGGCCCCACATGTGACTCTGCACACATCAATGCGGTAACCAAATTCCTGCCACGCTTTCACCAGCATATTGCTGTCAATCTGGTCGACAGCTGCAGTGATACGTCCTCGCAACTCTTACAGAGCGACGGGTAGAGGAGGCACAAACACACTATCTTTCACAAAACCCTATAGATAAAAATCTAAGGGGGTGAGGTCTGGTGATTTTAACTGTATTTGTTGACAACATTTTGACTAACCCTGTACAGTATGTACATTATGCAGTATATAGAAGGACTCAGATAAATTTAGAAAGAAAATTCATATCACCTGAATACTGTATCCTGTCCCTCCATAATATTTATACAAGATTAATGATTATTTCTTGTTTTTTTCATCTGTTCAGCTTTTAAAACCACATACTGTATGTTCACACTGCAAAATGAGTGTGAAACTACAAACAAGCCCCAATAACCGTCTTTTTACTATCTTGAGCATCATGCTGAGTAAGCCCAAACTGGTTCAGACCAGTCATCTGGGTTGGAGCTTCTGAAAGGGGCGACCTTTGTTTTCAGAAAAGCCTCCGGCCAGTTGCGTACCTGCGGTTATGTTCTTTCTGTCAACATTGTCTGGGTCCAGTTCATCATGACTCAGGAAGTCCTGAATGCGTTTCAAGGAGACGCTAGCCTAAAAAAACACAAACACAGTACAACACAATTTTAGGAAACTGTTCTGCTTCCATGATAAACGCAAAATTTGAAATCTGTGTCCTGTTTAAAAACCTCTCACGCACACGCATTTTAAAATTTTTAATAACATTTATATTTCATTTTAAGTCACAGTGTGCTATATTTCAACATTACCTGATACTTGTTACTTAGCAGCTAATACGTCTCTTTCAAAGCGGGAGTCCACTGCATTACTTTTTCCTTGGGCTTTACTTTACTTGACAGCAGAGTTACCATCTCAGAAGCTGATCATAAGTTGAGCTTGATCAATACTGGGATTGGAAACAGACAAGAAAATGCTGCTGTGGTCTGCAGTGTGAGTGGACCAGTAGGTGGCATACTTCCATCTGGTCCAGTATTTTCAGGCTGTGGTATGGTTTTGAGGGACACCATGAGTGTCCTGCCCTTCGGCTGAGACATTAAACCAAGCTCCTGGCTAGTTTGCCATTAAAACCAATATTAGTTGGGGTACCCTTGGGTAATCCCAGTGCTATCCTACCAAAAGTTCCCTCACAATTCAATTGGTAAAGTAATTTCTCCCTTCTGCACCTCATCTGCTGTGTAGTGGGGCTGCTGGTGCAGAATGGCAACTGTGTTTCACTCAGGTGGGGGCTGCACTCAAGTGGCAGAGCAAGTGGGTCCTCTCCGATAAGTAAAGTGCTTTGGGATTGCAGAGATGCAAGCAGTCACAGTACATTTCAGTGAAGGTCTGAGATGAGTTTTAATTTGTGACAAAAAAGACCATTTCCAGAAAAGACACACAGAAGATGGATCTTCTAACAGTTTCTTACATTTCAGCAGCATTCAGAGTTCTGTAATACAGCCATGGTCACCCTACATTATTAGCATCAATATGTATTGATAAGTGGCCATTACCATAGAAAATTCTTCTACTTATGACACAGTGCTACTTCTGATAATGCCGCTCCTGCCTTTTAGTTATTTCTGAGGTGTCATGTGCAACAGTTATTTCTGACACATCACATACAATAGCACTGATGTTGATTCTAAGAGATGGCTTACAGAATTCTTGGATCATACACAATGGATCAGCCACACAATGAGCAGGATGAGGTAAATAGCCGTCTCTTGTTTGTTACCTTTCTGTTCATAAAGCTGAACATGGGCTAGTCAGAAAATAGGTTGTTTTTTTTGTTTTCTTTTCCACCAAGAACATGGGTGTGAGAGGGTAGTAGGATCAGACAAGATGGAGATCCTTGTCTGAACCATATTCCCCAGAATGCTGTGGGGCAAGGGGCTGCTGCACTCAGTCACCTGACAGGTTGACAAGGCAATTTAAAGACCAGGGGCTTCAAATGGCGAGTCACCATCACTGTTTGAAGATGGAGAGAAGATCATCTGTGATGCACCAGAGGGAGCGACAGAAGGAAGACCAGGGTTGACCAAGAAAGCAGCTGAATATTGTGTGAGTTTTGACTTCTGAAGGTTTTGGACAGAGACGGTTGTTTAAAGTCAGAAAGAGGCTTTGCTGCCCGGCTACTGTTAGTCAGGGAATGAAGAGGTCTATTGAGCAGCTCAAAAGAGAGCTTAGGCATTTCCTGTGCAGTGTAAATAATGCACTTACTCTTTTAACTTACAGCCACTTTGTGTGTCTGCCTTACTCTGACTAGTCTTTCAAATTTCAGATTTTAAGACACCCTATTCTAGGGTGTGTTACAAAAAGTATCAATAAAGGGCTCTAATAAATTAAATCCCAAGTTCAAATGCAAATGTATCAGAAATGATCCTAAAATATTTCAGAAGTCGGGTATCCTGATCTAGATGTTTGGGACACAGAGACGCTGGGGCAGGAAAGCTGGTGGGATGCAGAGTGGTGGTGGTAGAGGGGTAATTTATTAAGGAAACAAAGGCTTAGCATCTGGCTTCCATCAGGAAAGCAACGCTCACATCATCTTTTATCGCCCCCTCCACTAGGTCTAGAAATGGGAGGAGCTCTGCACAGTTTTATTGGTGTTGAGGGTTTCGCCAGGCTGAGGCCTGTTGTAATTCAGTTGGGAGAAGCTATTAAACTGATCCTAATAAGCCAATAAGCTGATTCAGGTTTTTAAAAGCCCAGCTGGACCAAAAAGCTATAAACATCTCTTTTCAGCCACCAGTTGTGCGGCAGATTCCCCTCTCTGGTTTTTTACTGTGTCTAAAGCTGGGGAGCAGAGTTAGCTTTAGCTGCACAAAAATGTCCTAATTAACCACTGAAATTACTCATTGCATCCCAATCTGTTTTTTACATACATTTACAAAGAGCTGTTTCTGCTTCCTGAGTCCGCACTAGCCAAAGAGGTAAAACCCAGCCTTTTTTACTGGTGCAGAGGAAATGCTTGTTGGCACAACTCTTAAGCAAAAGAGTTCACTTTAGTGAAAACAAATAATACACGCCAGTAAAAAAAAAGAACACAGAATTTTTAAAATGGAGCACAAGTTGTTATTCAGCAGTTATTCAACTTCCGTTATTCAGATGATGGCATGAAGATTGCTCTTCAAGTTGTTTTACAGTATATCACAGTTACAGAGTCCTTGACCCATTTCCTTGTATAAAACAGATTCTTATAGATAGATGTAGCTTAAGTGCAAGAACCAATTTTTTTCAGAAGCACAGGAAAGAGAGAGATAAACTGATAAGAACACTACTGAAGCGACATGGCATGAAGTGAATATTTATTATAAACTTGTTAGAACAAAATAGACTTGTATAAATTAAGGAAGAAGTCTATTAATTTTTTTTTAGATTTAATGAGCTCAGCAGCAAAGTAATTTTTTGGATTAGCTGAGACCCAGTTATTCTTACTCAAACCTAGGGCACTGCGGTTTACAGCAATAAACCAACAGGCACTCTCATAATATGCAGAACAATCCTACTTCTGGCCAGAGTGTTGATGCAAAATTTCAATCAGAACTCCTGATGGGAAAATCGGGAGAGCTACAGTGGGATCCAAAATTAAAACCCTCTCCACAGCTGAGAAGCATGTGTTACTCAGATCTAATTAGCTGTATGAGCTGCATACAGCTAATTACTGACAAACACTAATCACTTACACTTTACAACAAATCTTAATGCAATTTAATTATTGAGTTCAAACTGAATGTGTGTGAAACCAGGCATGTGCTGCTGATGACACATTGTCTTTCCATCATTGACAATGAAATTAAAAGGGTTTTGAAAGAAATGTGTAATCCACTTTTCTGATTTAGACTTCTAGATTTTTACCATCACGACTTTTATCACAAATCTTTGCCATCCCTTTTGTATTGTTTGTGACAGGGTGGTTACCTTTAATGCTACAGCTTTTTTTTTTAAGCTTGCACACACCCTTTCAACCCACCACTTCAGGAATAATGTGCTGTGTGAGTGAGGCCTGGTCCCTTCGCGGTCCCAGCACAGAACACCCAGAGTCCCAGCGCCCGCCCTGCTTACCTGCACAACACTGCTAATGACTTGTGGAAGCATGTTGAGAGGAAACCTCAGGATGTTGAACAGTGACAGGGACACGAAGGCCTTCTGAGCATCTAACACGTTATCTTTATCCACTGTCACGTAAACGGCAAACGTTGTCAGGGCAACCTAAAAAAACCAAGCAAACAACATGAATGAGGCCCAGCCGAGTAGCAGGAAGGAGAAAAGGTTTTTGTTTTTCTGGGAATAGAATTGAACCTTCATACTGATTAGTTTAAGCTTTTATTTTTTTAAGACATGATAAGATATGGTCACTTCTAGTTCCTCATTCTGTTAACAGAATTGTTTCTAAGCTTCCTCTCTCTAACTCAGTAAAATTATTTTTTCCATACACTCATTCAGTTCAGGGTCATGAGGGAGTTGGAGCCTATCCCAGCATGCAACAGGCACAACACAGGGTTATCCTGCAGGTACGCTAGTCCATCGCAGGGCACACACAGAAACAAACACTGATGCACACATTTACACCAAGGTCAATTTTCTCCGAAGCCAATTAATCTGCCAGTATGTTTTTGGGCTGTGGGAAGAAACCAGGAGAAACCCACATACACACAGGGAGAACACAGACACTCCACACAGATAGCATCCCAGGTCTGGAATTGAACCCAGGGCCCCAGTGATGCACGGCAGCAATGCTAACCACTACACCACCGTGATACCTATGTTTATTTTTTATCATCATAAATAACATGACTGTTTTATTTGAGTACAGATGCCAAAGAGAAACCAGACCTGGAAACTTAGAGCAACCTAGCAACACAACAGCCACCCGTCTTCACACCGAGGCGAATCAACCTCCTATCCTACCAAATATCAGGAAGCCAGCGTCTCTTGACGACACAGTAGCCCACGGCCCAACAGCCCATCCCAAAAGTGCTGGGTGCGAGGTAGGACTTCCTGCTAAATGGTACTAACCATGTGTTCACAGAAATCAAAACCGAATGATTCATATCATGGGTGTCCAGTCCTGGTCCTGAAGGACTGCTATGTCAGCACAGTTTCCAGGTCTCTGTAAAGCTTCAGTGTCTCAAGAACTGGAAGAAGCATTTAAACTGGTCCAATTAAGCCAATAATGAGCTGATTCAGGTTGTTCAAGAGCCCTAGCTGGACTGAAAACCTGGAAATGCACCAGCCTTCATGGACCAGGACTGGGGGCCCATGTGTTTTATGAACCACAAAAATATAGGCCTGGCACTGTCAAGCAGTAAAACAGAATTGCAGGTAGACCACCCTGCTGCAGGCACTTCCAGAAGCAGGTGGTAATAGTGCTGCTCAGCAACTGCAGCTCGGATGCAGTATTCGAAAGCTGTGACAAAGATGAATGTGTTTCAGTTGCGCCTGCAGGTCAGGGGGTGGCACCGCAGTGTGAACAGGCAGTAGGCAGCAGTCACCACATTCACTTGGCAGCTCTGCAGCTTTGGTGCAGAGGAGCTCCAGGAGCTCATGGTGAGAAAGCCTCAAAATAAGTATGGATTCACAGCTTCTTACTCGAGTTAAGAAAAGCAAAGCCAGAATAGAAAGGAAAAGATTTGCTTTTTCAACCAAATGAACAAACCGGGTTGCTCTTTCCAATATATTTTTACAGAAATTTGCTGATTGAAAAATAAGGAGTACAAATCTTCTGGTTTGCACAGTGCAAGGTATTATTAATTAATCTATTAATAGATTATTGGCATGAATAGTTATTTCCTATCAAAAATAAAAACAATTGCTCCAACATACAGTAGCTATCCATTACATATAGTATATTGCAATGCTGGTGCTTATTCCTTTTGTGTGATTTTTTCTTTCATGTTTTCAGAATCATCCCGAGGAAGGAAAGCGACTACTGTATAATTACAAACAACTGAAATTAAAAGTAATATTGAACAGAAATCAGCTATTTCTAATTAAAAAACACAAGCAGTTGTTTTTCACATAAGATGTCTAAAAAAATCAAGTACATCTATCCAAAATGTTACCACATAAGAGTCAGCTAAACCACAGCTCAGTTTTGCATGATGTGCATTTCTTAAAGCAAAACAACAAGATCTTGAGTTTCAGTTCATATAGTTCTTCATTCTGAGAGATATACAGGACCTGAGTGACCAATAGTAACAGCATGTTGTGATGGTCAATAATTTACACAAGAAGAGTGATTAAAGACAAATGGCCATTGAGTATGGGCTTATCATACTTAAACAAAACATGTACTCTTGCAAAATGTACTGTATTTGTGAAATCAATAAAACTGATTATGTTGAAAACAAAAACATAATTTAAAGCATCAATAAACTAAATAGCTTATAACTATCTATTACTTTTTGCACCGCTGATTCTGTCACTACACCCTGAAACTATTTTATCTCCACATGAAGGATGGGGTTCAGAGCTCGCAGAGTGTCTCTGGAGGTAGACTGGTCTGGGAGGAAATGCCTATCTACAGTAAGCTGCAGACTAGATTTGGTGCATACCTCCGTGCAGAGGCTGCTGAGCCAGCTGGATTGGAAGCTTCAGATACCAGAGAAGAAGGCTGGCAAATTCACTCAATTGTTAACCTTAAGAACAACATTCCACAGAAAGCTGAAGGGCTGTGGAAAATGACCTGCTGTCACCAGATTGTTTGGTGTAACACAACTGGGCAGGTGAAAGTTAAAAACCAGGAAGCAGAGGCTTCCAGAGTCTGTCTTTTATCTGCTGGCTGGAAACAGGGTGCAGATAGTCTCACATGCAAACAGCCCTAGAAAGAGCATCTGAGAACGTTGTGTTTAAAGTTTCAAATATGGTGACTTTGTTTTTAGCTCCTTGATTACTGACAGAGAGGGATCTGAAGAAGTATAGTGAGATGCTGAAAGAGCAGCTTAGAGTTTAGTTTATATTTTAGAGTTTGGAGTATTTGCTTCACACCGTAAGAGAAAACATTTCTCTCTATTTTATGGATGCTTTCATTCCATTCAAGCTTTATTATCCCCTGGGGGAATTTGTGTTATGGTGCCGTCTGATATAACAAAGACAAACATTTGCCAACAAAGAAGACAGTACAGCAGTGTTTCAGGAGATAAGAGAATTCTGTGTTATGCTTGTGTGTTTATTTTAACTACACCTGCCTAGCACTGTTCCTGTTTACAACACCTCTCCACGGGGTGTGCCATGAAGGTGTTATTTTTAACTAGAAAATGTAAACTTTTCTGCCTTAAAAATCTAAAGTTGACCCCAGATACTGGAAAGAATACATATATAACTTTGTAACAGAATATCTGGAATTGTCTTGAACATAGAACATCCTCTATATCAAAACAGAGTAAGTTGAAAATGAATTTACCAGGAAAGGGGCACTTGTCCAAAGAAAAGTTGAAAGAGCCCCAAGATAAGCCGTTTTCCTCAGGACTTTCAGTTCATTCTGTCGAATGTCCATGATCTTCTGTTTGAACGAATTCTCCCAGGCATAGAGTTTCAGCACCTTAATGCCATTGAGAATCTCATTCATCAGTTTGATGCGTGCGTCTTTGTACTGCATTTGTTCCATCTGAAAAAGGAACAGAATGAACAGAGTCATTTCACACGGAAATCCCCTGATTTTTAAATCTGTAATGCCTTTTAGCCCCTAAGCTGTTTTTTTATGAAAGTGAAAAAAAAGTTGCATTTCTGTCCACTTTGAACATATTATATTACCTCCAGGAAATAGGTAATTCCACTCGGCATTTAAATCTAAAATGTCAATGCCACAGCTTTTTAGAGAGAGAAAAAGACTTGTTGATGCCAAAATAGTTCAACAGGTACTCTTTAATGGAAGACAATGACTTCAGTGCTGTAGCTGTATATTTCAATCTTTGACATTTAAACAATGTTTGTTCTTTATATAAAAAAGGGAATAAAATTTAAAATGTCAGACTAGCTGTGCTGCACCATTAGTAATCTTCTTGTGTAAAATAAGTAGAGCCATTCTGTTCACTTGGGCTTTATCTTTAGGTCACATTTAAATCCTAGTAAAGGTTAATAATCGTATGCCCTGTCTAAAACTGCTTTTACTTGTCCTAAACTCCAGAGCCTGTGATTCTGGTCCGTATTGGTGGAGAAAATGCTTCTCTTTCACTTCAATCTGAAAGTGAAATTTAGATTGTGAAAAAGTACAACACTAATAGCACTTTTAATTTTTAACTCAACAAGTTTGATGCTTCTGCTTGGTAAACACACAGACAAAAAAAAACATAACGTGTCAATCTGCAGCCAGGAGGTACAGTACCCATCCATATTGTTCAAGCAGATCCCTTGCTATCCTCCAGACATTAGTGGGATGAGATCCATGGATAAATTAAGTCACTAGCAACCAAATGAGCAAGACCGGTTCAATGAGATGTCTACATTCTTATAACCAATCCTGTTAATTTGTTTGATAGATCAAAACTAAAAAAACAAATTACAATATTGAACCATGAACAAATTGCCCCCCGATATGTTTTCTCAAGTGAAGTATATCAATGAGGTGTAATAATATCAGTGTTTCATACACATAATGGTATTTTCTTAAAATACTTATGCATCAATATTAATAAGTAGAACACTAATATCTCTTCTGATTTTTTTACCAAAGAAGTTTGGTGTTTTAGCTAAATGCACTGATGTTTATCTAAAACAAAAAGATGATACGAGATAGGTCTGTTCAGAATCTTTACCGTTCTGATAAAAAAAATCTTAAATGGTTGGAACCTATCAGCCTACAGTGATACTGCCTTTAAAGAGATAAAATTCAGCTTATTAATCAACAACATGCTTAATCTTAAATCAACATTTATTTTCTTACATTTCAGCAACATTTAATCTCTAAAGGATTGTTTCACTGTAACGCAAGTACCATTTTTGACATGCAGAATAAAGCATTTGAGCTACATATTCATTCATCTCAAGAATCTTTTGACATGCAGAATAAAGCATTTGAGCTACATATTCATTCATCTCAAGAATCAGCTTAAACCCTTTTCTTTTCCCCCAAAACGATAATTAATAAAAACAGCAAGTGTCATGTAAGTCATGTAAGCTGTTCATCCACAGCTGGGATTCAATCTCTCCTCCTGTATTCACCTCACAACGTGAGCGCACACACTCTCACACAAAGACTTGCACGCATGCACACACACTTCACGCCCAAAGGGTTATTTCACAACACTGAATGAGCCCTCTTTCACACGAATGAGAATGCAACTGCTCGCCACTTTCCAAAACACAGGAGCGCATGAAACAGCACATGAAAATGAAATCTAAACCTGAGAAGGTCTTACCTGGAATGCTCGTGTCTTCATGGCAATGACTGCATTAAAAGGAATGAGTAACACCATCACCGCCACACCAGCAAGGACAGAGGGACCAAGTTTCTACACAAAAACAAAACATTGACAATCCCTAGAACAAGGAACACTGTGTGGATAGAAAGAGAACTCTGCCTACCCTGTGTTATACAGAGGAAATAATGCTCCTTTTAAGCTGGATCAATTTCCTACAGGGGAAACTGATCCAACATAAAAGGAAACCAAATCTTCTTTATATAAAAAAAGGTTTAAAAACAAATGAAAACATTAAAAAATAAATTTAATATCCTAAAAAAACTGTAAAGGCGGTTCTTAAAAATGATTGAAAAGTCTAATTTTAACAAGTGTACCCTGAGCCGATATAAAAGTACTGTACATACACAATAAAGTAAAAAGTTTTAAAAAAATAAAAGTTTGAGGGTTGTGCCATTTAGCTTTGGACCAGATATTTTTGCCTGCAACAAAAAACACAATCTTTTCATAATTCATGGGTTGCTTTCTCACTGTGGACCTTGAGTCTGGACTGCTTTATCTAAACCACAACGCCAGTTCTCTGTAGCACAAAAGGAACAGACAAGGTGCTCTCAGGGCATAGTTGGCTCTCACTGCAGAACATAACAAGTAATTAAATTATTCAACACTGGCCCTTTGCAAATGTTCCAAATGCAGGTGAGTCTCAGGAAGACGTGTGCAGGAAATTTAATAAGATTTTATTTTGTTACCTTTCTTGTTATCTCAAATGGTAACAAATCTTCATCCTATTTAAATCTTTGAATGCTTTACAGTAGAGGTAACAACCATGTATAAGAAGAGTAAACATACTGAGAGACAAAAAAGCAGTGTTGCTGTATTAAATGTTAAAATGTGCTATTAAGTGGCTTTTGAAGATCCGTGTGTACCATCTGAAGCAAAGCATTTCACAAATTAGGTACAATTTGTTTTTTATAATATGTTCCCAAGGTTAATCAAGGGAGCTTATTTTACTACTGAAGAAGGCAATAGCTTTCAGGAGCTGAATCAGACTCAAAATAGCATTATGAGGGTTATCCTGCAAAGCAGATTAAAAGGGTTCATGTGGATTCCTCCAAGTACGGAGTGAAAAAGTTACAAAAAATCTTCATGGACAACATCCTTTGCAGATATCCTGAGCTGATTCTGCCTGCGGGGCGGAAAGGAACTGATAAGACAGGGGCTGTGGACGTACCTGCCAGAGGAAGTACAGGGCCAGAATGATCTGCAGTGGGGCTGACCACAGCAGGTTCAGGAAGGTGGTGAGATCCATGAAGTGCTGGGCATCTACAGACATCAGGTTCACAATCTCCCCAACAGTAGATGAGCGCTTTGCTGCATTCGTAATCACCAGCGCCTGGAATAAGTTCAACATTACCATAATTTTCCTATCCGTTACAGCTTCTGCTTCCCATATACATACACTTGATGTAAACTCCCACACAGAAATAGTTACTAACAATATTTAGTTCAGCAAAGTTTGCCATTTTCCATATTATATCTATTTCTTCTCGTGCCATGTGATAGACTGGCTCTGCCTTCCCCTTGACCTAGAATTAGAAAATGGATGGATGGCTGGATCTCTCTCTTCTGGAATTGCCTATTATTTTTCAACTATTGGTTAGTGCCAACAACAAAACAGTGAAAACCAGGCCATGTAGAAAATCTCTTCAAAAATGCCATTCCTCCATGGCACAAGCTTCCAATGCTGATTGGAGGAGCAGCACAGCCCTCAGTGACATTACTGCAAGCCTGCAGGAAACTGGCAGGTCCAAAGAATCACTGTTGCTTCAAAAAGCTCAGAAGACCCAACCCAGATGATGTTCTCCTAATTGTGCTCTGCGGCTTGGAAAGTCACATCTAAGGACACAACCCAGGCTTGATCCAGTGTCATCAAAGGTACAGCCGAACATGGGTGAACTTTTTAAGAGCCCAGACACTGTTTATTTCTTAAATTTGGCTTGGATGTCCTGTGTGTTGGATTCCAAACTCCACTAATCATTCAAACCACCTCTCCAGGAAGCCAGAAGGAAAAGATAAATGCTACTGCACACAGTACAATCAGGACTTTAATCACAGCGGGAAGCAGAGAACATGTATTATGAAAGTTAAAAAAATAACATGCAGAAAAGAGGGCCAGCAGAGACAGACTGCTCTTTGTGTGGCAGGATATTTGAATATTTGGGGATGGAGCGGACCCAGAGAGTCCCTAACCTTCCTGTAAATGGCTCCGATGATGGCGGTGCGCAGCCTCATGCCGGTGACGAAGCAGTACTGGAAGTGCTGGTGCAGGATGATGGTCTGCAGCATGGCGCAGAAGAACATCAGGAAGGCCAGAGCAAAGCCCCACCAGGAGGGCACTGTCTTCTGGTTGGTGAAATAGATCAGCAGGCTGGCACACACCGAGAGGGAGAAAGAGCAGCAGTCTGACAACCCGTCATGCCAATAACAAGACCGACATCAGCAGCTCTGTTCAAAGCAGACTTAATCAGCTATCAAGCTGGAGCCTCTGGACAGAGCACTGCCCTCCTGTAGCCTCTCTGAAAGCTGTGACTACAGCCTGTACATTGTAAATACCCTTCATCTTCAGATTAAACACATTTTTGAAGCTGAATATTCTGTATTTTATATCCAAAACACTTGGCAAACTGAAACTCTGTTACAAAAAAGTACTTAAAAACTGTCAAATGACCAGAAATACAAAAAGGTCATGCCAGTTTAACTTTTTAAATATATCTGTTATTTCATTTAAGCACCTGTCAAAATAATCACTGTTCAAGGAATACAATTGCAGACTTGATGAATTATATAATCATTATATACAGTAAAAATAAAAAGTGTAAGCATGGGACAGTGAGGTGAGAGTTGTTCATTTTTGATGTGTACTAATGAAATTTGTATTTAAAATCCAAAGATTAATATGAGGCACAAGTATACAATTTCAGCTCCTCTTTCTGGGTATTTATTTGCATATGTTTAGCCATGTTAGAACAATGTCACTTGTTGTATTCAATCCCCCTATTTCAAGTGTGCAGTTGAATTTTGTCAAAATGGTGACAGTGGTTTCTAATTGCTCAGGTGTTCCATGTTGCATTTATGAAATACAGAGCTGTGAATCCACTGCCTTGGTGTCAGCCTTTGGAGTTTACTTTCTGGGTCTGCAACTTGAGCTAAAAGGCATAAACCATCATGAAGACTAGAAATTTATCTATGATGAAAAAGCATTGAATTGTGAATTGGAGAGCAAATCAAATTCCCACTAGAAATATCGCAGAGAGATTAGATGGCATACTCAACAATATGGAATGCCGTGATAAAGAAAAAAAAATAATGGAAGAGTAAGCAATCAGCAAAGTGCAAGGAAAACAACAGAAGACAGAAAAAGCATTAGAAAAAGCATTAGAGCAGTAAAGAACAGTGTAAAATAATCTATAGAGAGGGGTGAAAGTTTCTCAATTCACTGTGCACTGCAAGATGCTAACTTCTAAAAACAGAAAGGCCACATTAGAATTTGCAAAAAGTACAAAGAGAAGTACCTGAGCCATAGCAATCCTGGAGAAAAGATTTATGGGCAGACAAGATGAATATAAACCTTTATCAAAATGTTGGAAAGGCAAAACTGTGGAGAAAGAGTGGAACTGCAAATAATGTTAAGCACACCACCTCATCTGTGAGGCATGGTGAAGGTTGTGTCATGGCTTGGACATGTATGTCTGCTTCCTAAACTGGCTCACTGGTCCTTATTTAATGATGTAACTCTAGATGGCAGCAGAATAAATTATAAAGTGTACATGAACTCCTTGTCTGCCCATGTCCAAAAAGTGCCTTCAAACTCATGAGACAGCAGTTCACTCTGCAGCAAGACAATGACACAAAATAGACTGCGCACTTGACCAAGGAGATCATCATGAAGAAGTGAAAACGTCTGAACAGGCCAAGTCAATCAACAGATTTGAATCCTATTAAATATGCATTTCACTTGTTGAATAGTAAACTGAAGTCAGAAAAACCCACAAACAAGAGACAACTAAAAGTGGGTACAGTTAAGTCTTGGCAAAGTATCTCAAAGGAACATATTTATAGTCTAGTGATGTCAAAGGATTGCAGGCTCGAAGCAGTCATTTTATGTAAGAGGTATGTGATTAAATACTAACTTTGCTCTTGTTTAATGTACTTTAAGTTTTTTCCAGTACTTCTGCTCACCAGCAACAGGGGTACTGAACACAATAAGTGACACTGTTCTAACATGTATGCAAAATAATACCCAGAAACAAAAGCTGAAATTACATACTTTTACCTCATATTAATCTTTTCCTCAAATTTCATTAGTATGTAACAAAAAACTATCCCCGTCCTTACAATTGTGATAGTACTGCATCTAATACTGTATATAAATAATAGATTTCACAGATAATATTATATGTTATAATATACTGTAAATAATATTATAATATAAAACTATACAGTCAGCCTTATTTACTTGCATAGAGATTGCATAGAGTCTCTTCATTTTTTAAATTATTTCATAGCCATAATGGTGAATTATAAGGTCTGGTTATAAAAAAAATGCATCAGCTCCCATATGACATATTAAATCTTTAGAAGAATGAGGAGTCATTGGCAGTTCTGTAGTAACAGGCTCAATGGATTAGGAGAATATCATTATTATTGAAATAATTGAATTACTGAAAGGACATTAATTTGAAATTCAAAGTAATTCAAATGATGAAATTTGTTATTCAGAATTATACCCAGCGTAAACAAAAAGGTTCAGTGTGCTGTTTATGAACTGGGAAATTTACATAATTGGTTTGCATTGCAAATTCAGAAGACAAAATAAGGTACAAGAGACATGAATTACGAACCCACTTATGTATAATTAAAATATCCTAGATAGATACTATAATTAATTTAAGAATTATGAAGAAAATATTTAGCTAGATAAATCACAAATGTATTTAGCCATATACAAAGCACATTCAATACCATACTATTCTGCTAAATTAGGACCCATTAAAAGTTTAAAGACCTTTTCTTCACCTTGTGCCTTTTAGTACATCGACAGCTCCTGCAGCAGACAGCTCTTAAAGCTGTAATTTAGTTGTTTTTTTACCTCACATAATCAGAGAAACAACTACCTGCTGGAAATGCATTAGACAGATGCAATCCAAAATGAGAATATGATTGCACATTATCGGCATGTACATCATGTACTGTCATCAGTCACCAGTCAACAAGACAGCTGCTCTGCAGGAATAACACCCGAGTCCCTGGATCAGTTCTTACTTCAGGAGCTGTGGGTTGACGAAGTTGATCAGGTCCTGGAGCAGTTTGAAGGCAGAGCCGATGAGGAAGTAGGGCCCAAAGGCCTTCAGCAACGCTTTGAGGAAGGAAGGTTGTATAGCCTCCTTCTTCCCCGAGAGCAGCACCTCTGCCTCCTCGGGGCCCCCATCCATGTGATTATTAGGGACATTGGGGGATTTGGAGTAAAGCACTTGGTTCTTCCTGTCACAAAACAACAAGAAAAAACAAGGCACGTTCATCTCGGAAGATTTAAAGCCATGATAAATTATTATCCCAGTCATGTTCTGACTCAGTGAGAGATAAGATATATGGCAGTTTGTAGTATTGAAATAAAGAACACTGGACAAAGTATAAAGTTTAAAAGTATTTTGTTCTGAGAACAAAAATAGCAATGTGATCTGAAGACCTTTTTCAATGGATGGTCTAAAAGCAATGTCGTCAGCTGGTCAACACTGAGAGTTGACTATGTGTCTTTCACAATCTCCCCTGGGCTCAGCCTCATTTAGAGAGATTTAGCTCTCTAAATTAATAAAACCATTCCACAAAAGAACAACACATTTTGAGAATATGATACCTGAAATGAATGTAATACTAGTTTATAATTACAGACTTCTAATTCTTGTACAAACCTTCTACACAGCCGGTTAGTGTCAGTTAAGACATGTCCCAGGGGCTGCAGACTAGACAAAAGAACCCATAAATGGAGCTGCAGCTCAACCTGTACTCAGTCAAGAGCATCTGAGCTACGCAGGACTACCTCCTATTACTTACAGTAATTAATGCCACACACTCAGTCTGTGTAAATAACTGAGAAAGAGCTCTGTCACAACTTGTAATGAAGGGCATTACACAAAAAATAAAACTCAATCATAACCCCTGCAGTACAGAAATCATTGACATCATTTAATCTCTTTCCAAATCCAGCATTTACTTTATAAAAACACAGGAAAGATTACTAACTGGACAAGGATATTTTGCCCATCTAACTTAACTGGTTGCTAGTAGCTCAATGATCTAATGATCTGGGTTTGTTCTGATATTTAAGAACAAGGGGGCCTAATTTAGTCCTATACCAAAGGTACAGGCAGGACCTGGCTCTCACACAGCTGTTGCTCCATTTATACATGATGGAATGAGTCAGAAAGACAGGTAAAAAACTGAACAATACACCTAGAGAGTAGAAAGATGTTATTGTTTTATAGTGTGCAAGATAATGGCAAGAAATGTTATAAGATGAGGTAATTTGGTTCTGTATGTACTCTTGGAAGATCTGCCCTAAGGCTTACTGCACCCCTGAGTGTAACTATGTCACGAGAATCACACTGCACACAGTTAATTCAAAGCTCAACAGCCCAGCTATCAGCTGCCCTTTTGTGGCATGAAGCCTTTCACATCCGAAATAAGTTTTTCTTTACTCCCTCTTTTTTAATGCACTTGATAAACTACATCCTACGCCAGAGGAGAAATTACAGACTGTATTTTCTCTTTTTACAGAAGAAGAAGCTGGTTTGATTTTCTTATTACTGCAAGGCCAGGGTCTAACAGTACCAGGTGAAGCTGGAAGATACTGAGTGAGTGAAGGGCTCCCAACTGTTTTTACGTGCAAGAACAGGATTCTGTTCACTGAGCTAATGTGTGGCCCCTGCAGAGGTCTAAACAACAGTAAAATCATAGTACAGTAAAACACAGTGAACTGCAAGGACAGAGCTAAAGACATACAATGTGGGCTTCCATAACCAGACTGTGAGTATGAGGACACTATGGGGAAACTGAAAATACACTTCAGGCAATAATGACAGACATTCTCTCACAATATCAGTTTAAAAACAGACCCTGCAAAACCTTGCCTTAGCTAAAGTAGCAATATGCAAAAACACAGTGGTCATTGCATACAAAATGTACTGTATTGTTCTTTTGTTAAAAAGATTTTGAACTTCGTCCATACTTGCTACAGTCTGTGTAGTGCTTCTGGAATTAACTTTATTTTGCTGAATGGGTTTTTATTATGGTTGAATCATTCTTTTTGATAAAGTGAGATGGAAATGCACTTTTTCTTAGAACTGTATCAGAAGTCTGCAGGAAGTAATATGGTGTTGGCTGTCTGGAAGGTGATGAAGTTAAAAGCTTTTTTGAAAAGACTGTTATTTTAGTGCAAAACGCAAACTATACCTTTGAACTTTTGTCTTTTCTACTTCCCACTCCTTGAGAAATTTTGGAACGATGACTTCTGAGCTATCCTGTTTATTCAGGGTCCACAGATCCTTGTTTTCCAGGGGTTTTTTGTAACCTTTGACAGCCATACTGAAAGTAAAAAGGTGAAAATCAGAAAAAAATGATGATGTATAAAGGAATAAAATGCTTGCAAAATGAAACTGTGTTATATCATTTACAAAATACTACCTCCAAATCTAATTGTATCTAGCTTTGCCTTTGTAGTCACAGCAGACTGATTGATTCTCCAAAAGCCATAATAGCAATTGAATACAGTTGAATGTTTCTCCAGAACCTCTTCCTCTAAAGCTCTTCATTTTCAAATGACTTTAAATCAATATTATTTTGTTCAGAAGCTATATGTCATGACATACATAAGGATATGGCCTTGTCCCAGACTGCGCAGGCCACAGCCACAGCCGCGTCCCGGACTGCGCAGACCACAGCCACAGCCGCGTCCCGGACTGCGCAGACCACAGCCACAGCCG